GAAAGCGAATTTTGGGAATGATGAGGGCAACAAATGTATAGGTGTGCTTTACACAATTGATCTATGTATTGTGATGAATTGTATGAGCCCCAATAAAATGATTAAAAAAGCAATATGTAAAAAATATATATATATATATATACTTCATAAAAATAAACATATTTAATAGATTAGAAAAAGAATTGGCTCAACTGTGATCATCAACCTTTCCCCTTTCCCAGCTTTGCCACAAAATGAGTAGAAATGTCATATTTGAACTAGTACCCGTAATTGGTGCATCAGGACGGGATTGCTCTTTTCTCCATGCAGGCACAAATACAGTAATATTTTTATGACCTTTATCTAGAAACCAATCCACAGCAAGTTGTATCCCTCTGCAGGAGAATCCTTCTTTATTCCCATGGCTTTAGAAAGACAGAAAAAGAGAGAAGATAGACGATATTAATTAGCAAAAAAAATGGATGCATTTCAATTATAGTGCTGATGAAGAATATTGAAAGTACCAATGGTGTACCTAAAGAACAAACAATACCGTGTTGGAAGAAGTACAGCCAGTATGCTCTTTAGAGGCAAAGATGGTGAGAATTTGTCTCATGTACTTTGGACATGTTATAAGGAGAGACCAGTCCTTGGAGAGGGACATCATGCTTCATAAAGTAGAGGAACAGTGATAAAGAGGAAGGCCCTCAAGAAGATGGATCGACTTAGTGGCTGCAACAATGGACTCAAACATAGGAACAATTGTGAGGATGATGCAGGACTGGGCAATGTTTTTTTTCTATTGTACATAGGGCTGCTATGCACCGCAACTGACTTGATGTCACCTAAAAATAACATCAACAGCAAAGAAATACCCATAACAGACATTTTCTTACTACAAGGTATACAATTATCTTGATAATGCAAAAGACTGTTTTCAAAAAGAGCAAATCAAATTCTTCTTAAAATGTTTAAAAATTGTGTATTGGGTGAAGATTTATGAAGAAGATTCATCAGCTTAACATCCAACAATTCATACACATTCTGTTTCATCTCATTCATTTCAAACCTCTCAATGTAACACCACCCATCCTTCCTCTTCCCTGTGTTTCCTGTCTCCATTCCTCTCTCTTTCCTGAACCTTCTGAACTGTATCCTTAAGTAAATGCTTGATCCAAAATTGTGATTTATTCTAAGTTGTGCACACATCAATATAGACCCACCTTTTATTTGGCTGAAAATTGAGCCATGGCTGTGAGTTCAGTTCCAGACTCAGAGTGACCAAGGATTCATGGCCTTGGGGCTTCTACCTATATATCTGACCAGCAAGTCTAGTCCTTTCATGATTTTCAGTTTTGTATCATACCTTTCTCTCACTCTATTCAGGACCTTCAAATGAGACCCCCCCTTTTTGGAAGAGTTGGTAGTTGTAGCCTGGCACCATCTTTCTAGTCTGGTTTCAGGGTTGTGAAAACGGATGTTGCATGGTGCATTAGTCCATTGTACTAATTGTTTCCATGTGTCTTTGATTTTCATTATTCTTTCCTCTGGATAGGTAAAGACCAATAGTTACCCATAGATGGCTGTTCATGAACTTTTAAGACCTAAGTAGACTCACTAAAATAGGATGTAGACTTTGTAGACTATGTCATGCTAATGGAATTTGGGGTCTCCTGAGACAATGATCCTGAGACGCCAGCCCCAGCAATTAATTAATTTCCCTAAGGGGCATGGCTATGTATGATATTATTTCATAATTTATACAGTTATATGCTCTACTACAACCATGGTACAATCGTAGCAAGGTAAATAACTGTCACAAATATCTTCTGTGTGTTTTCATATACTCCCACTCTCTCTCCCACACCTCTTCAGTTCATGAAACTATCCACATATTTACCCCCAAATCACCATTATTGCAGGACTGCAGATGTAACAGTATTTACCTCTGTTACCTTTAACTACTTCAATTCTCCCAGTGTCCTCCCTTGCCTCCATCATTCTTTACCAACCTCATTCCTATTGCACACCACTGTGATGTAGTTAATTATTTAATATGACCTTTCTAGCCTTAGTTCTCATTTTGTGATGTATTGCAAACTTCTACACCTGTGGTTATAGACTATGTTAAAAGAAGAAATATTTTCATTTTTAAGATTTTCCCTTGCTAGGCAAACTACCAGCTTCCTGTTTAATTGAGAAAAACAGAGGGTGGGATCACATTATGGAACTGGCTAAAATTTACAGGAGTAATCAACTAGTCCTCTACCTAACCTTTTTTTTTTTCTTTAAAAAAAAAATCATTTTATTTGGGGCTCATACAACTGTTATCCCAATCCATACACACATCAATTGTGTAAAGCGCATTTGTACATCGTTTCTCAAAACATTTTC